GCTGGAGGTTTCTTCCTGAAACCTCCAACCTGTTCTGCTGGAGGTTTCTTCCTGTTAAAAGGGAGTTTTTCCTCTCCACTGTCGCTACAAGCATGCTTAGTGTTAGGGATTGTATTTGAGTCAATGAGTCGATGCAATCAACTGGTTTTCCTTAGATAGAAAACTTTGTATCAATCTGACTGTGTGATCTGGTTGAACTGTAAAGTGCCTTGAGATGACATGTGTTGTGAATTTGGCGCTATATAAATAAACTGAATTGAATTTGGTAAGAAGAGCTAAAGAATGTGAGAACTTTACCTTTAACACTATATGTCATGGAGAAATCCAGTTTTCTTCCAAGTTCCCCTCCCCTCTTCCAGTTAGTGTATTCACTCTACCTTGCTAACTGTCCTTGTTGTAATGCAAATAACCTGTGATGTGACCAACTCTTCTACAGGAGACTGGATAAAGGCTGAAACAAACTGGCATCAGAACCAGAGCATGCTCCAAACACTTTTCATTACCTTCCCCTGCAACATCAGACCTTTTTGCAGGAATATCTTGATAAGTCAGATCTAAATCTTTTATTTAGGCAAACCTATTGAACAACCAGATATCATAGGGGTCCTAGTTCCTGAGCTGATAACAGGTCATAACCATGCTTTTCCAACAAGGCAAGGCAGAGCCTATTTATATCGTCCATTCACCAACAGACTCATTTATATTGCAAAGTTCACTATGTGAAAGAAACTTAGAGAATAATTATATTTTGTCTGTTCTGTCGCTTTTTAATGTCATTCAACATTTCAGCTTAGAGAATGATAAACAGTCTGATTTCAGTATAGCAGTAACATTTATTTCACCCAAGGAAAAGCTCTGTATATGAAGCTACAATTGTCCCATTTAGCAGTTTCTACAAACCCAAGGTGAGTCCTTCCTGCATGTGTGACAGGTATACTTTGTGCAGTGAACACAACGCTCAGTGCTGTGGTTCCTGTTGCAGAGATCGCACACCTGGCCTGCTTAGAATAACAATGAAACAATCTAAAAAAATAGAGTTTAGCACATTTTCCCAAAGTAAGAGTTCTAGTATGATCTAGATGAGGTTATCTATGTGTGCTACAAGTTTGGAGGCACTACAGTGATCTATAGTGTAATTATTGGCTATTATATGCTTATAATGACAATGAACAAATCTCCAAAAATAAAGTTTGGCCTATCTTCCCAAAGTAAGAGTTGTAGTCTGATCCAGATGAGGTTATCTATGTATCCTACAAGTTTGGAGGCCGTACAATGATCTATAGTGTATTCATTACTCATTTTATACTTATTCTAATAATAAAATAAGAGATGTCATTTGTCATTTAGGCTTTTGGAAATTCCTCAGAAAAGTATTATTTTCGAATCCAATAAATGTGATAATAATCCACCTCTCCTTGGTGACGCTTTTGAATATTTCTCCCTGATTATTTTGCAACTAGCAGACGGAGCATTTGCGGAGCAGCGAGCTCCCCATAGGGTCCAATGTAATTCTCCCAGCGTGATAGGAGACTCGTTTTTAGGAAACTATGGTTGTAGCTCAGTCTGCTTGAGAGGTTTCTGTTTTGTAGAATAAATAATCTGCAGACAATTTATTAATCCAGAAAAGCCCAATAGGTGGATATATTGCCAACTTAACTGCAGTCTCACATGCTGTCTGCGTGTCTGCAGCGGAGCACAGAGGAGAGATCGCCTCAGTTATATTTCCCCCCAAATAAATGATGGTTCTTATTGTATAAATATTGTTGCTTTCTACAGCGTTCCAGCTCATGCAGCTATTTTCATTGTACAGATCAGTTATCTGATCGCTGCCATTTGTTGATCTTTTTTCTTTAAATATAATTAAATAAAAAAAGGATACATTGAAACATTTAAATCATTTAATGCTTTGAACCACAGAGACCATTTGCATTAAAGTCTAAACAGATTACATTTATTGATTTGAAAAGCTACAAAAAACAATGAAGAAAAGAGCTGCAAAGCTAAAGTAATTCTAAAATAAGAATCGGACCAATCAGGAGAGACTATTTCATACTTTTTAGTCTACAGTCTACTGTTTCCACATTTTTTTAGAGATGACTGCAGCTCTCAGGTCTTGTTGGTTTGCAGCAACTCTATGAGGCTCCGGTTATAATCGGCCACCTGCTGGGCGACGGCCTTAGCCACCGAGGCGTAGGCGCTCTCACGAGTCTTTGATGTGATGACTGACAGTAAAGTTAAAGACTATCACAGAAGTACTGATGGAGGAGGTGGTGCATACATCCTGCAAACATGGGAATAGAAATCCAAAAGAAACTGCAAACAGAAATCATACCAACAAATTAAATTTTTTAGGTTGCAAAAAATAAAAATTAGGAAAAGCTGCAAACTAACATAAGTCTAGACTACTAGGGGGAGATGGTCATGCTTCCTAGTGTCATACTTCAACCTTTAGGTCCTATACTTCAACCTTTAGGTCCTATACTTCAACCTTTAGGTCCTATACTTCAACCTTTAGGTCCTATACTTCAACC